TCACGATCTGCATGAATGGAAATGTTTTATATCTAAGATGTAGGTTGTAACATGGGATTATCGTATTTTTAATAACGTGGTAACCAATAGGTTGCGATCGTGTTGCTTCGGTACAGCCAGTTCGTCGGACACCACAATAGACATGTTCAAGTTAAAGTAGTATCGGAACAGTAGGATAAATCCCCGTGAATGTTCCTTCCGTGACGCGTCGCTGATCCAGGATATTATTCATCCGCGATAACTGGAATCCAGAAGAGTCAGATCAGCGGGCGCAAATCACACCACGGTCAAGTTCAAGTTCAAGTTCAAGTGGTACTGGAACGATAGGATGAATCCCGTAAGTGTTCCTTCTTGAGCGGGTCGTCGATCCAGGAGTTAATAGGGGTGCTCCGACTTCTTGAAAGGTCTAAAAGGAAAACACCCGAAAAACACCCTGGTCCACCAATTTAATGCCCACCTTCCTTACATTAGCTGTCCCAGCTATGTCAGTTACGTGAAGTAAGTAAGAGAGGAAGAATGATCGAAGGTAAGAGAGTAGGGGAAATCAGTTAAAAGAAGAGAATAATACCAATGGCGAGGAAAAGTAAAGAGAAATAGAATCGAAGTATGAAGATGGGAATAAGTCAGGAAAAACGAAAGGTTTCGTGTTGCCACCCAAGGGCGTCTAGTTGACGCTCAAACCCCTTAACCGTAGATTCCTTGACAACATGTTCTGGAAGCAGGTTCCAGCGCTCGATGACTCGACGTGATAACCGTGTCTCCGCTCTAACTCGATCGGACCGCGGTTTGTCCAGCTTCGTACAATGCCCGCGAAGACCAGATAATGTAGCAGGACTAAATAGCCAAGATAAATCAGGGCCAACCTTCCCAGTCAAAATATGGTAGGTTAGGATTCGGACCCCTCTAATCCTTCGACAGTGCATTGACTGCATCCCCAAACTAAGTAGGCGTTCGGGGTACGTTTGCCCTCGTAATCCCTTTACCAACCTAGTACCGACACGCAACACCGTTTCTAGTGCCATTTTGTCCCGGACAAGGCATGGTGGACAGGCCTGGACGCAATATTCTAGGTGGGGTCGCACAAACGCTGAGAAAAGCTTCACAAACACATCAGCGGTAAGGGTCCCAAAAGAACGAAGGATAAACCACAACATCCGGAAACCTTTACTAGCCGCCTTCTTCCAGTTGTCTTCAGAGTGTAGTGTGGAACAGTGGACGACACCTAGATCAACCTGATGAATCACGTGAGGAAGTTCACTCCCATCGAGCACCTAACTTGTGGAGGAAGCAGACGCTCCGATACGCAGCACTGGACACCTTGCCCGGTTTATGGGCAGCAACCATACGAAAGACCATGCTATCCAGAGCCCGTTGAAGAGCCACAGGACCTCCAGGGATATCAACAATATTCCAGAGCTTTAGGTCATCAGCAAATTTGAGCGATGGCACCTCAAGCTCCTCCGGCAGGTCATTCACGTAGACAGAAAAAAGCAGCGGACCTAGGACAGAGCCTTGTGGAACGCCGCTAAGTACAGCTTGTCTAAACGAAAGACAGCTTCCCACACGAATACACTGTTCCCGTCCATCCAGAAAAGCTGACACCCACTGGAGAGCGCGACCAGCTATTCCATACGACCTCAACTTCTGTGAGAGTCGCGAATGGGGGACAGTGTCAACGGCCTTGGCGAAGTCAATGAACACCACATCCACCGCATGTCCACTGTCTACGGCTACAGCCCAACTCTCACGAGCTACCAGCAAGTTCGTCGGACACGAAAATCCTTTGCGAAAACCATGTTGCTCGACGCAAAACAGGTTAAACCTATTTAAATGGTCCTCCACTGTATCCCGTACTAATTTTTCAAGTAACTTAACGTCCACGCTAGTCAAGCTGACAAACCTGTAATTAGCCGGTAGGCCTTGTCACCGCACTTAAAAATCGGACAGACAACAGCCGCCTTCATTCGGTAGGCAAGATACAGCTGTTGAGTGACTTCTGAAACATACAAGTCAGATGTCCACTGAGTTCCACTGCCAATTCATGCAACAATTTTGGATAAACGGAATCTGGCCCAGAAGCCTTAGTTGGATTTACCTCTCTTAGCAACCGGAGAACTTAGGACTCAGTTATAGGAATTTCATCCAGACAACAGTCCTCAGAGACTCTTGAAGCTAACTCTGCATGGCGTATTTGTTTCGCGGACAAAGACGCTTGAGTACTGCTTACCAAGCACGCATGCCTTGTCATAGTCGCTATAGGCATGGGTCCCATCTCCTCGAAGCAATGGTGGTATGGGTGAGTTTGCACCACAGCGCCGTTTAACGTAAGTGAAGAATTTCTTGGGATTTTGCAAAGCAGTATTAGCTAAGCTCTTTTCATACTGAAGCCGGACCAACCTAAGATGTAGCTTGCACTCAATTCGAACCAACCGATACTTGTCAAACGTGCTGCTCGACGGAGCTGTTCGGTATGCTCGCCAGCATCTAGACCGCTTCTTTAGCAGGCTCTTCCCCGCGGAATCTGTCCACGGAGGCTGCGCTCTCGATTCCCTTCTTTTTACCAGTGAGATGTGAGGTGAAGAAATGGCTACGAGGTGAGACTTAAGTTTTTCCCAGGCTATGTGAACAGTATCGGTCTCAGATATCACACAAGGCGATGACCTAGCTTTATCCCGCATCGCTTGGAAGTTCGCGGCCCAAATGTTCGGATACCAACTGGTAGTAGCTTGGCAAGACCTGATAAGAGCACACTGGAAAGACAAGCAAACGTGATGGCTAGCGCCAAGAGGCGAGTCGTATTTAATGTCATTTACATAGCCAAGTGACTTAGCAAAAACAAGATCTAAAACAGACGGCTGCTGATTGCTCATGTACCTAGTGGGGAGGCCCACGAACTGGTGTAGTGGTAGTTGCAGCGTCAAGTCCAGCAGTTCTGTACCGAACGATCCCAGAGTCAAACTGCAAGATAGATCATCCCAACAAACCTCTGGGAGGTTGAAGTCTCCCAGCACCAGACACTTGTTCGCAGAGTGAGTGTGTATAAACTCAATGATTCCATTTGAGGTGCTCATAGGGTTTCTATACACTAACACAACCGTAACCTGAACCGAGGAAACGCAAATCAAGACTGCGAGAGCCTCAACAGATTTGTCGAGAGACTAAAAAAGCGCTGGTCCTCAATACGTCGATGTGATAACTCACATAAAGAACTACACCACCTCCACCACCCCCTTGACAGCCAGTGGAGCCGTCAGCGCGGAACAGTGCGTAGCCAGGCAGATATACTTCGCCATCTGTGATTTCCTCAGACAGCCACGTTTCAGTGAAAACAAGTATATCTGGACGAGATTTGTCTACGAGCAGACCCACCTCGCACATCTTGTTCCTCAGGCTACGCACGCTACTAAGTACTACTTGGAGGGCTTCAGCACGACCAGCCCTGGGTCGTGCGCAATTAGTATAGGTTCTGGCAGGGCGGAAAAGGACCGAGTATAGGTTCTGGCAGGGCGGAAAAGGACCGCCGGCTGACCACCTGAAAACCCACTAATCGGAGACTTTGCTCGCCAGATGCACGCCGGCCTTTTAGGTCTCTGATGGCTTTCTTTACCTTTAACCTATCCGCTAACGGAAGGTCTGGTTGCACACTAACATTGGTACCTTTGAGCTTGAAGGCAAATCTCAGTAAGGCTCTGCGCTCTTCTGGGGTGGAGAGGACCACCCTAAGCAGACGAGGATTTGGTTGACCAACCGGAACGTTCCCCAATCTGATGAGCTTCCTGACTAACGCCAGGGAAACCTGGTGGTAAAAGCCTGGTCACGCAAACTTTAAGCCAACCAAGATCATCAAGCATGCGCTCGGTGGGAAGAGCGTCAGTGGATTCAGTGACGTTTCTGAAAATCACACTGCTCTCTGTGTAAGAATCATCTCGACGAGGTGTATTTAGACCACATGCTCTAACATCCATGCCACCTGATTGTTTGACAGCAATCGGTGGGACCGAAGGCGACGGCACCTCTTGTCTCACTGAGGGAAGTGCAACACTAGGTGGTGTTTCCAAATCAGGCGCTTGTTTCTTGAGCATTTTGTCACCTTCCGGTTTGGGGGCGGACGGGTTGCGCGCTTTCCTTGCCGTCTTACGCTTATTCTTCAATGGCCCAGGAGCCCGAGACTCGCCTTCCATTTGGGGCGGGTCAACAATGCCCTTCCGAGGCATGTGTCAGTTATATCCACGTGAACTGGAGCGTCCGGCAGGATAAACGCGTCATCAAGCATTGGACTGGCAGCAGAAGGAGAGTCCGTTACAGCGTCCACCTTCGCAATATTCAGAGATTTCATAATCCCCTTTAGAGTTGAGCGAGGAAAATGAGGCAAGCTCGGCTAATGCCTTCTCGACAACTGTGAATCTGGATGCTAGTGCTTTGAATTCAGCACAGGTGAAAGCCGGGAGCTTCGCTTTCTGAGCGCAACAATCAGCACATCTAAAAAGATGGCTTTCACTGGATGATAGCATCTTGTACTGATTCGCTCGGAGGCCGGTACAACTTTGTGATACCAACGAGAGCAAACATCACACTGCATACCACCAGATGAATCCGTGACTGGGCTTGAACAGGCAGAATTGCTGCAAGCTACATTTGACTCATCAAACGAAGACGCAAGTGGTGCATCTGCCTCGGTTTTTCGCGAGACTACCATGTTGAAGTGGAAAACAGAGCAGAATGCAAAAACACGTATACAATCGTAAAACGACCACAATAAAAAGGCAAAACAGGGGGTAAAACAGGGTTAAAAAAGGGAACAACCGCAAAATTACCAGTAAGCGTCAGGAAGACGCTTTGGCCAGTAACACTTTAGTCGATCCATGATATCTTGGATCAGAGGAAATTAGACAATCGTCAAATTTCGTGCGTTTATTCAAACACTTTTTTCCACGTTATTTCAACGAAAAAGCTCGATCAGTATGGCACGCCAAAAAATCGAGTTACCGCGTAGCACTCACAGAACAGTGTCAACCAACTAATACCCGCGCGATCTGCATTGGCAGTCCCCGCCGCCCCGGTCACGTGAAATAAGAAAAAAAGCACGAAAGCAATAAGAGCGTCAAGAAAAAATACGTACTAGATTAAATAATTCAATAAGACGAATAAGCTAGGACTTGAAGAGGAATGTTAAGAATTGAAGGCCAAGCGCGTCGAGTCGATGTTCAAACTCTTTCACCGTTGGTGCTAATACCACGTTCTCGGGCAATGCATTCCAGGAATCCACCACTCGGCGGACTCGGACTCCATCTGATAGAGGTTTGTGTAGCTTCAGCGAGTGACCTCAAAGCGATGGAAGCCGAGCCGCTTGGAAAAGCCAGGATAAATCGGGTCTGATTTTACCGGTAAGTATACGATAGGTCAAGACTAGAGCACCTCGATGTTGACGATAGTGCAGCGAGAACATTCCCAGCGCAAGTAGTCTTTCGGGGTAAGTATGGCTCCCCAGTCCATGGACCAATTTGGTTCCAACTCAACACGCTCTCCACTGACATCCTGTCCCTGACTAAGCAAGGTGCACAAGCCTGGATGTAGTATTCCAAGTGTGGCCTGACAAATGCTGAGAATAACTTAACAAACCTAGCGCCCGTGATGGTCCCGAATGCCTTACGGATCAACCTTAATATTCTGAAACCCTTGCAGTAGCTTTCCCCCAGTTCTCACTGGATTTGAGTTCTATAGACAACGTGACGCCTCGGTCTACCAATAGGGTAACATGGTGTAGTTCATTACTGCCAAGCGAAAAACGCGTTTGGGGGCTATTTGGCCCTATTCGTAACCTTGAACACTTTGCATAATTTATGGGTAACTGCCACAGAGCAGCCCAGTCCCAAAGCTTATCGAGGGCCAGTTGCAGAATCTGGGCTCCATCGAAGTCAGACACTATGTGCCAAAGCTTTAGGTCAGCTGCAAACATGAGAGATGGTACCTCTAGCAGTTCGGGCAGCTGGTTGACATACAAGGAAAATAACAACGGGCCAAGCACCGAACGCTGAGGGACCCCACTGAGGACTGACTGACGGAAAGATATATTAGACCCCACACGAACATACATCTCTCCCCCTTCCAGAAACGTGGTGACCCACTTTAGGGCATAACCGGATATTCCATAGGACCGAAGTTTCAAGGAAAGGCGAGAATGTGATACAGTGTCGAACGTCTTGGAGAAGTCAATAAACCCTACATCTACTGCATGACCCCGATCCAAAGCATCCGCCCAACATTCGCGTGCAACTAGCAAATTAGTCATACAGGAATGACTCTTGCGAAAGCAGTGTTACAGTGGACTGCGCAGACCAAACTCCCGCAGATGGTCTCCAAGCACATCTCTGACCAACTTCTCCAATACCTTGACCAGTACTCTTGTCAAACTTACCGGTCTATAATTGGCATGGAGATGCATGTCGCCCTTTTTAGAAATCCGGCGCGCGATAGCGTCCTTCCAGTCCTTGGGAAAGGAGCAGCTGCGAAGCGACAATTGAAATAAACGCGTCACTGGACCAAGTTCAAGTTCAAGTTCAAGTTCAATTGGGACCGGAACAGTAGGAAAATCCCGCGAATGTTCCACCTTCGAAAACATCGTTGATCCAACAGGGAAACCGGTGCCTTGATGTGCCAAAGGAGAGCCAAACCAACACACACGATTCATATGGTCAACCAAACAATGCCCACGTGCCCTGCACTAACAGTCCCCGCTGTGCCGGCCACGTGAAGAATAAACGAAAACAGTAGTGTCAGTAAAGAAAAGAAAACAGAGGAGAAGACAAGCTAATCGAATATCGTAGGCAGTATTAAGATGTAAGTTAAAATGAGTTAAAGAAGCGTAAGCCGTAATAGACGAAGAAAAGTTTAAGACACGAAGGGGAAGACTTTAAACTGCAGACCGAGAGCGTCAAGTCGATGCTCGAACTCTTTCAACATAGCTCACTTGCGAGTTCGTACAGAAGCTTAGGGTGAATATCATCCATCCCAGCCGAATTTAGCAGGATTTAGCCCCTGAAGAAGATGGAGAACTTTTGCCTTCGAAATTGCGACGTGTGTTAAACAGGTGTCCTGGGGGACTCTCATTGCTAGGTCAAGATGCGACAATTGCTCATCCCGAACAAAAGTTCCAGCATACTGCGCACTGAGTAGACATGCTTTTTTGTGATCAATGGTGGCAGTGGCGTCGTCGCTGCCTAATAACACTAGGATAGATGAGCCAATGTTACTACGCCTTTTGACGTAGGCGAAGCATCTTTTGGGATTCGCGGAAGCTGAGTTAGCCAGCTCCATCTCATAGGTAAGTCTAGCAGGTCGCAAAAGACTCTTGCAAGCATTCCGAGCTTCACGATAATGCCGAAAAGTACATTCTGAGAAAACTGTCCGTAGATCCGTCAGCATCTTGCCCGTCTATTCATTAGCTGGTGTACGACTGCGTCCAGCCATGGTGGCTTCGCTTTTATACCCTTCTTTACCAAAAGAGGGATGTGGGGGTGCGACAGGTTAAAGAGGAAAGACTTAAATGTATCCCAAGCCGTCTGTATATCATCATCCGGCAAGAAGATGCATGGGAAACTTACTGCCTTGGCTCTAATAGACGGAAAGTCGGCGTGCCAAATGTTCGGAGTCCGGACCCTGTCTGAATCGTAGTCTCTAATGAGAGCACAAGTGAATGAAAATACGTATGCTCACTGGCTCCCAAAGGGGGGCCGTACTCAAGGTCACTCACAAAGTCAACCGACTTTGCGAAAACTAGGTCCAACAGAGAAGGAGCATGACCCACCATGTACCTGGTTGGTCGATCGACAAATTGAAATAAGGGTACTTCCAGTGTCAAGCCAACAAGCTCGGCAGCTAACCTTGTTGTCGCTGCCTCATAAGATAGGTCATGTTAAGTTACTTCAGGGAAGTTGAAGTCCTCCATTATCAAGCATCTGCTCGCAGAGTGAGTGCGGATGAAGTCAATGTAACGCCTAGAAGCGCTATCAGGGCTCCTATACAGCAGCACCATTTTAAATTGCTTTGATTGGGTACAGACTTAAGCTGCAAGTGTTTCAACAGTTTTATCAGCTGAGTTAAAGGTATGTGTTTTGAATACGTTTACACCACATCTGATATTCGAGGCGACACCACCGCCGCGGCGAGCAGATGGGCGATCTGGTCTTAGTATTGCGTAGCCCGGAACGTGTAATTCACAGTCCATGACGTCAGAAGACAACCAGCTTTCAGTGAACGCGAGTACATAAGGATGGGAGTGGTCTATTAGGGCCCCTACTTCACACATAATGTTTCGCAGGCTACGCACATTACTAAGCACTATGAGAAAACGTTTGGTATGGAGAGCCCCGGGTCGTGTGCTACCAGAATGGGCTCTGATAAGGCGGAAGTGGACGGTCGGCTCACCACCAGAAAATAACCAAACATAAACCTTTCTAGCCAGCTTCGTGACGCGCTTTAGGGTTTTGATGGCTTCCTTAAGCTTTATCTTATCTGTTCAAGTTCGGGCACGACAGGAACGATAGGACAATACCGTGTGTTCCTTCTTGAGCGGTTCGCTCAGCCAGGATATGATGAGGTGGTCAAATATACGGAACGCTTCACGATTTTGCTTGTCATCCTTGCGTAGGGGCATATAGTGTTTGTTGCGCCACAAGTTTAAGTTCAGTTGGAACCAGATGATAGGATAATCACGTGAATGTCAGTTCTTTTGCGTATCGTCGGATCGGGTATTGTTAGGTCTGCTTGGGGTGTTGAAAAGCCTAAAACAGACCGCATCACACCCTATCCAACCAATTACTGCCCACATTTTCCTGCCTAGCAGTTCCTGCCAGGCCGGTTTTTTTGAAGTAAAAGAGTGAAGGGTAAGTTAAGAAAACAGGAGGTGGAATGTCAGCTAAGGAATGATAATACCAAGTTGTGAGAGTAAAGTAAAGTAACCAAGGGAAAGTTGAAGATACAAGTCGTCTAAGAAAATTGGAAGGTTTGGTACTGCCCTCCAAGAGAATCTGACATTCAAAACCCTCAGACGTAGACTGCCAAACGACATGCTCCGGAGGCGAATTGCAACGTTCAATAGCTCGGCGCTACGTCACAATGCACAGCACCGACTATCAGCGTCCTATTATAGTTCAACCAGACCAGGATCCCGTTGTACAAGCTTCATACGTCCAGGCATCTCCGAAATCCAGCCCGCCACTCCCCCGACCGGTGGCCGGGGTTGCGAGGTGCGTAAGCCCGATCGGTTCTTCGACAAGTTACAGTGTAACTGCGTTTATGTTTGTGTGTATTGTACATACTTGCCCCGCTTTTGGTCGAATAAGGTTTTGAAAAGCAACAAATATCAAAAACCGAAAAACCACTAAAAATTTCAAAAGCCAAACAATCTAAACTCGCATATCAATCGTTCATCCTTTCTGGATTTTTTGAGCGTATTCTATTTTCTTTTATCTAAACGGCCTAACTCCTCATCAATTGACCGGCCCACACGAGCGATATTTTTGTGGACCGTGACGCGATCAGTGGTCGTTTCCTCGCTGGACGAGTGTCGCTGCCTCGCGACACGAGGGTTTTTTCTTCGTGGGACGACGATTTTTCTCCTTGGGATGTGGGTGGTTTTGGCGCGGGGTAGGGTGCGGCGTGGCGAGAGACCACTACCAAGTACACCGTTTCGCAACAGCGGAAGTTGGAGTATGGCAGCCTTTTTCTGGTCTAGCCAATGTTTTGGTAGTCCTACAAGCACGCCCAAACATCTCGCCGAAATGCACCGTGCCCCGCACTCAATAAATAATATATCACAAAAGCCACATGGGTCTTCGATTTCTGGCAACACCTTCGTTTGCCACCAACGATAGCTCATTCTTACTCTGCATGAGTTTGCCCTTTGAACCTCGATGCAACAGTCTTGCGACATCGAAGGATTTCTATGTTCAGCCTTCTAGGGGAGCTCAGTAGCGCCCAAAAAATAACTGCTAGCTTTCACGTACTATTTCCTTATTGACAAATTTTTCAT